AGGGCACACAGTCTCTGAAGAGCTGGACATACAAAATCCCAAACATCCAGATGAGAAAATGGCACGCCAGAGGACTTTTCATATTACCAAAGAATTCACAGTTGGGTTTTGTGTGATTTCATTAACAATGAGCTCCCCTGACTCATGAAAATTACACCTGTGCCAATTCTATCTAGTCAGGGGAAAACAATCACAGCAAAGCATACTCGTCATGGATTTGAGGGCACAGCGTGCATAACCTACAATGCCAAGGTCTCATCTCCTATCAAAACCCATAGAACCTTCCACACTGAAGGTATGGCCACAACAGGGTTTTAGAAGAGCTGCTGAGTGAATTCCGAGTCACCTGCTGACTACCCAAAGCCTACCAAGTTTTGACTACCAAGATAGAAATTTTTTCCCATTAAAGACTTTAAAATTCTACCTTTAGATAACTATGGCAAAACCTGACAAAATAAAATAAGCCTAAACAATGTTATCAGTGCTCCTAGGAATATAAATAAACTACACAGAACTAATCTAATCTGTAACTACATGTAACAGGTAGATGCCAACAAAATCAGAAACGTGACTTGGTAGCAATTCAGTGCTGAACAATGAAAGTTCTGGAAATGATTTATCTAACACTTAAAATTCATTTCTCTCAAAGCAGCGACCGACTGGTCTAATACGTTTTTCTTGTAAAACCTAAAGGCTAGGTAAATCTTGAGTTGTGTTTCCGCAATGTCTCCACATCAAGCTCCCCTCTTCTCGATATCCCACCTTTATTTGAAAAGATATTAAACTGGCTGAATTACTTTTATCTTTGCTAAAACAAGTCATTGAAGTGATGTTTTGGCTCTGTGGAGGCAAAGCCTCGGGTTCCAAACTGAAAGGGGGCGGAGGGGGGGCGGGGCAAAGTCCTCAGATAACAGCATCTTTTACTTTTCAGGTTAATGATCTGGCATTCTATCAGCACAGCCTCTAATATCAGTCTAATTACTAATGAGGCTCTTGGGGATTGTACTGATGATTTATTTTGATGATGCTTTTTGAATGTGAAATTACAAAGAACCAATCTTCCAGTACAGAGATAAAAGAGAAGGAGATCGATTAATGGGTCTTAAGTAAAAGCAAAAAGTTAAATGGGCCTAGTTTCTGCCTCAGTACCCCAAGGTCCACACCAAAGCAATCTTGTCACACTTTCGGACGCCCTGAGGTGTGACGTACACCAAGTTTTAAATCAAGTGTCTAGAATTATATAGGCCCAGAAGAGTTAGAACTAGACAGAACACCTTCCCCCTATGAGATCATCCTCATGCAAAAAGCACATTTAAAAGGAAGAAATTGAGTCACAGAGAGCCCACAAGTGTGTCCTTGGTTCCCTTTGCTTCTCTGTGTCTTGGTTTCCTCACCAGAGAAACACTCAAAACCTCACATAAATGACTTGGGGTCCTCCCAGATCCTCTCCACTAACCTGACAGAGAAGAAGGAGACCCCATCTCAAGAAAATGGTGTATGCAACCTGAACTCAGGTCACCCCTAAATCTGGGCCTTCAATAGTCTCATCCAGAAAAAAATTATTTCTATTGAAAAGTACTCACCACTACATTCATTATTCCCAGTATCCCTCCAAGGTTTTTAAATTTTAATTTGGTTTCTCCCCAAATAAAAATCTTGTACTTTTTAAAACTACATAAAACCTAGGAGTTCATCTTTCATTTAAAAAAAGCAACAAAACTAGCCAATACAAAAAAGGGGGGGGGGCGAAGGAAACAGAATTCTAATGGCCCTTAAAAAGTAATAAGCACCAAAAGCCAAGGATTTCATATTACGCTTCTTTATATATCCCCCATGGGTAACCAGATCAACATTTTGTTTTGCTTTGTCTTTTTGTACCTGTAATTGATAGTACAATTTTGGAATACATTTTAAAAATCTACTTTTTAATGTAATACTCACACATATTGTAAGATAGTACTTTAAGCCTGGTGTTCCCATGGCCCAGATACTCTTAAATGGAATAACAGAGGAAAATAAAAAGCTGCTGATTGAGAGTTATTTTAAAGAACAAAAGAGAGAACACCATTCTTACTCAGCGCAATTCGCTTCTGTTCAGAACCCAGTGAAGGGTAAGTGTGCCTGAATTTAAGCCACTGAGCACAAGGCACGTAACACAACTACTTCCAAGCAAATTTCAAGTGTCTCAACCTTTATAGACACACTTGCAGGTGCAAAAACTTGGAACATTCTATTTCAGGGACAGGCCTATCTGTCAGGCATCAGAAGACAGGAACGGCCTAAAGCACTTTGCATGTTTCGGAGGACATCTTTACAGTTCATTCCCATGGAAGCAAATGAGGAGAGCAGGCCTTCTCACCGCTTTCCCTTGCAGCAAAAAGGCCTTTGCTAATTTGCATGATCTAAATGGTGAAGTAATTCTCAGAGGGCATTTCTGTGTTTCTAACTATAGGGAGGTCCTTTGAATAGGGAGGTTCCCGTATATTGGCTCTGGGACTTCCAACAGTGACAAGCAGCAAGCAAGGAGAGCAGACAGCAGGAGAGGGAACAAAGCAGCCCTGCTTCAAGCCTCTCTGGGCCGTCACCTCCGCCTGCACACAGCATCACACGCTGCCATTCCCCTGCAGGAGGCAAGAATGTGCCGCCCAAGACATAAAAGGTTCAACTCTGTGGAAAGACAGAGCAGCGTGAGAAGAAAAAAAAAACCAAAAACACCCCCAGGGCCAGGGGTTGGTTATGTGACTGAAAGGCTGAACACGCAGTTTCAAATCTTTGTGTGTAAGTGAGTGTGTGTGTGAGCGAATGTAAGCATATGTAAGGGTATGTGTGAGGGTGTGTGTGAGTGAAGGTGAGCATGGGTGAGGGTGTGTGCACTGGGAGTGCAGGGTAGCAGTTAAAAAGCAGCAGCAGAGACCAGAGAAGGGAACAGCGTGCTGGTTATTGTAGAGCCTCTGGCAGAGCTGGCTCTGGTGTTATCTATAAAACACTGACAAGCCCAGCCAAATGGCCCAGCCAATCAAGATGTCTGGCCTTCAGTAGACAAAATACCAATATCAGGTAATCAAGGGATTTTTGACCCAATGAGTAGATGTTATGGTGTCACAGATCAGGCTTCACCATAACAATCTGTACAAGGAAAAAGAAAACTTAGCTTATCATGAAAGCACTCAACCAAAAGTTCAAATGTCCCCAGGATCCCCTAATTTCCAGTTGGTTACCCACCCTTCCCCCACACATGCTCACCATCAGCCTCAGTGGTTCAGAGAGCAAAGCTGGCAGGGGATTCGTCCCTGGCCCTACTCTTGTTTAAAGGTAGAAGGGAGGCTGGACAACAGGTAGGCCTCATTTCTACCTCTGGGCCTGTTAGCTAACTTGAAAACACCATTCAACCCTCTGGTTTGTCAGTCACCATCCCTCTGACAAGTGGAAAAAAAAAAAAAAAAAGATCACCTGTCATTTTTTATCTCCCCTTGACCTCACTTCCAGACAAGAGCCCTTTTCAAACATCGGGACACACAAACTGTTTTGAGAGCCAGCCAATAGGAGTTGCTAATCCATCACTAGAAAGGGCGAATGGAAAGTTGGAGAACAAGTTCAAGCACCTTGGCTGTGTCAGCTATGCTTCAGGGTTTAAAAAGCAAATAGGAGGACTGAACAGAGAACCATCTCATTCACTAGGCCTTTCACTGTGGGCAAGATGGCAGAGAAACCTGGGCCACATCTTCAGTGAGAAGCGTTTTCCAGCGCCCTTTCTCATCAATCCCTTCTAGGTGGACTGGCCCTCCTCTAAAGGTGGTGTGCCCGTATCTGAGGCCCTGTCCTGGCCACACAATGCCAGGCTGACTGGGGCCAGATTTTGCATATGTATTTGCCTCCCGATCATTGGCAGAAAGCGGAGTTTCATGAACAGAAATGCCTAGTCTTCAAAAATCCAGTCCGTGATTTCTGAAGTGGGAGTGAGAAGGAAACAAGCTTTGAGGTCCAAAATACCTTAGAGAAGGATCTCGAATAGAAATATATAGTTCTCACTTGCTGTGGTTTAAGCCGTTGAGTTACAAAGATCGTATTTGATATTCAGTATGAAATCAGAAGGTGACCTACTACAATAAAATGCAGACTTTCCCCCAAGGTACACAAGAACCCCTTACACGCTGAACTAGGAAATTCCCCACACTCTGGAAAAGCTGAGAGAAACTCCAGACCTTTTCAGAAGTGCTAGCTTCAACTCTTACGTCTTCCGTAAGACACTCTGATCCTCCCAAGAGTGAAAACAGCTGAGGACTGAGATTAACCATAACAGAAATAAACTCCTGTCTATGGCCATAGCCAGCACAAGATGTCAGAATGATGAATCAAAACAGATGCAGTTAAAAATGTACCTGAAATGTACCTGTACCAGCCAACAAGCATATCCATTAGGAAGTATCTGCCCTAGAGATATCACTCAGGTGCCTATCTCGGGCAGTTCAACCTAATATGACATTTTGTTATTAAAGAAATGCAAAGCATGGTTTCCATGTTAATTCTCACATCAAACTGCATCTTAGTTATGCTGGTTCCGTGAATATTGTGATGTCCTGACTTAACTTACTGATGCTAAGTGGTTCTTCACCCATTTAGACCCGCCACAACCACAACTTGTCTGCAGGTTTCAGGGCCCTATCTTTGGGGGTTAATCAGGAACTTTTTAGTAACTCTCGTGAATATTACCTTCCCAAGAAATGAGTGGTGACCTATCAGAAGTACCTTTAAAAATTGTTTTTCAAGATGTACACGGAAATAGCAATAGAAGAAACTCTGTCCAAGCTACAAAGTGCGTGGTCAGTGCCTAACCACGTCCCCAGCAAACACCTCACCTGGAGAGAATAAGCTGTGACTGCCCCCACCCCCACCCCCACCCCCGTCAGTCTTCATGACTCAGTAGAAAGTCGGAAAAACAGTGGAACACATGGAACATGAACGCAGCCCAAGTTCTAGAAAAATCTCAGGGCAAGACTTACCACTCTGGGCTTCTGCTGGTCCAGGGTATGCAGGAAAGCAGAGTTGGGGTCCAGGCAGCGCTCAGGGTCACTGGAGATGTCCTCTTCTGAGTCATCATAGGAGGAGGAGAAGCCAGTGGAGGAGGCAGAGGAAGAGGACAGTTTCCTCAGGGACAGTGTGCCCAGCGGGCTGCCCTGTGGCTCCTCTAAGACACCGTCCTCCTGGGCACCCATGTCCGTGATGATGACGGCAGGTATATTGGTGGGGCTGCAGGCTTCTCTCAGGAAAGGCTTGTCCTTCTGTTCTGGGGAGAGCAGCTCTGGGCTGGGGTGGGCAGCTCTGTCCTGGGGTGGGCTTCCCCAAATCCCCTGGGATTGTGCCCCTGTGCCACACGTCCAGGCCAGACCAGCGTCCTCCATGGGGTCCAGCCAAGCTCTGGAGCTCCCAGACTGCGCTCCCACCCTGTCCCCAGGAAGGCCCTGAGGCTCTTTCTGACCTTTTGCTGCTTCCCAACAGGGCGAAGCCTCCACCTCCCGCCTTTCTGGCTGTGCTGAGCTGCTGCCCCCACGCAAGCCCAATAGTGGAGACTCTTCCTCTACTCTCTTGGAGTGCTGTGGAGACTCAACCACTGCAGCCCCACTCTGAGTCACCTCTGGGCCTACCGAGCCCAGGTGTTCAGGTGGCCTGAACCAGCTAGGGGCCTCTGAGGGCTCCAAAGAGCTTTGCAGGGTCACAGTCTTCTCCTCTGGCCTTTCACCTACTTCAGGCACTCCAATGCCAGGCATGCCACAGGGCAGATTTCCTTTCCCCACTTTCCCTGGGGGCTCTCTCGTGCAGGGTCCACCTTTCTCTGGGGCTGGGCTTATCTCACTGCCCAGAGACTGTCTCTGACTCTCCACCAGGACCTCCACGGGGTGCACACCCCCAAGTTCAGGGGCCCTCTCAGACAGCTCCATGAGGACAGGGTCGTGAGAATGGTGTGACCCAGCCGATGTGGTGCTCGCTGCCACTTCTGTGGCCATCACTGAGTTCGCTCCAAGAGGCACCAAAGAGGGAGCTTGGCAGCTCTGCGTTCCCAAAGGGGAAGAGACACTCTTGTCAATTTCCATAGCTACAGGTGAGCCACGGTGGGGTCTGGCAGGGACCCCCTTCTCCGTGCCCACCGCAGCGACGGGACCCTGAGTCCCTGATCCTGACGAGACGATCGGGCCAGTAAAAGGTGCCACTCCTTCCTTGTCCTTGGAGAGGCATAGGCTGGGCGCCCCTGCTCTCCTCCCCGAGTCGGCCTCTGAAGTCTCTGGACAGTGGTCCCCCCAGGACTTGGTCCTCCGTTCCTCGCTCGTAGCCAGAACCCTTCCTGGGGGCTGACTGCTGCTGCGGAAGGGGCACGGGGAGGGCGAACGCGCCCTGCCCAGACGCGGGCTGCGGGGCGCTTGAGTGGCAGAGCTCTGCGCCTGGATGTGCGCCTCGAACATGCCCACTTTCTGATTCACCTGCACGTTCTGCAACTCGCGCTGCAGGATTCGCAGCTTCCTCTGGGCCTCCTCCGGCCCTGGAGGGGAGAGGGGACCGGCGGTCACCATCTGCGGCCCGTCCCCTCTCAGGCGACCCGCCCAACTCGGGCTGCCCACGCTGCTGCTGCTGCCGCTGCCGCTGCCACTGCTACTATTCAGCCTGCGCCGGCCACTCCGCCAGCCCCCGGGACTCCCGGGCTCCTCGGGCGACAACGACTCGTTTGGGGGGAAGAGGAAAGAGGCGCCTCTCCCGGGGCTGAAAACGCTGCCGGGGCTCAACACGGCGCTCCCCGGCGGCGGGGGGGTCTCGCTGCTGCTGGGCCGGGGGCCGCCGCCGCTCTTCACCTGGTTGGAGCTATTCATGATCACCAGGCTGTTGAGTGCATAGCAGTACACAGCCATAGTACTGGGTCCCGCGCTGCCCGCCGCGGCCGCGGCTCCCGCTCCGGCTCCGCCGCCGCGCCTCCTCCTCCGGGGGCTCTCGGCTCAGCCCCTGAGGCCCGGCGGCCGTGGCTCGGTTCGCAGATGGGGCGACATGGCCTGTGCGGCGGGCGGGGGGCGAGACCGCGGGCTCAACCCCCGCCCAAAGCTCCATAAACAACAGCGCCGCTGTGGAGACACAAGGAGAAAAGTCAGGACCCCGGAGGGCGGTCGGAGAGTGGGGAGGAGACTCCCTGGCCCGTGGAACCCCAATCTGGGATGGGAAGTCTCACCTACAGGGATTACCCGGCACGGCAAGGACGCAAGCCCCGGGGGCCTCCATCGCCAGCGCGATGGGGGGTGTGCCTTTCCCGAGGACGCTCCCACCCCTCACCCCAGGTGGTGGTGCGCTGGGCGGCTCCTTCGAATTCCAAATTCTAAGATTCGTCTCTAGAACCATGCGGACGGGTGGGGGGCGATGTGCAACTACTTGGTCCCGAAGTGTGCTGTGTGCGGGGCGCGGCTGCCTCCGAGGATGAGGACACCCCAGCCACCGTCTCCCGGTCTCCGGCCAGAGCCAACACTGGTTATAGCGGGTATAACGGGGCCGCCCCCGCCTCTAGGCTTCAGGATCTCCCCGCTCCACCCTCTCTGGTCATCGGGGACTGACGCACTGAAGGAACCTGAGCGGGACCCGCTTTTCCCCCCCGCCGCTACCTGCGCCGGGGTCTGAGGGGACCCTGCGTGTGACTGCTGATTACCTTCCTGACTTTGGCCTTGGGGCTCTGTCCCTCGGCCTACGAAGGCCTGGGCGCACGGCGGGGCCACTGCCGTGGCATTTCTCAGCACCGCCTTGTCGCCTGTCCCCAAACAAGTGTGTTTTGTTAGTGTGGGCGCGCCTGCGCGCGCCCGGGGCCGAGGCGCTGCATGTCCCCTGTACCGGAACCAATACTCGCCGCCCCCTGCCGTCGCCCCCCGCGGAGGGGTGTGTGTGTGAGTGTGTGTGTCCCCGCGTGCAGACAGCCAGCCTCCACAAGCCCCGTGCCCTAGGACGCGGCTGCCTCTCCCGGCTCCGGGACCCGCGCCCACTCGGAGGAACTCCAGGGCGTGCGTGGCTGCAGCTGCGCGGGACCCCGGACTCTGCAAACCTCCCCGGAGCCCGCGATCGAAATCCCCGAGCGGCACGGTCAGTGCAGGGCTTCTCCGCATCCTGGGCAGCTTCTCCCAGCGCCCACGGAGCCGCCCGGCCGCCGGAGCCGGGGGACGCCTGGAGTGCGCCGGCGGAGGCGGCGCGGAGCCCGCGGCCCGGAAGGCGAGTAGTTGAAACAACGACAACTCGTCTTTCCCTGCTCTCCCCGCACCCCTGCTCCGCGCCACCCTCCCAAATCAGAACCCCCTCCCCGGTCTCCCCAGCCCACCTCGCTGCGCTTTTTCAGAACCCGGAACGCTCAGAGCCGCTCCCGAGCCGAGCGAGGGGAGAAGAGGGTTCAGAAACGAGAGCCATTACAAAGCTGCCAAACTTACCTGCAATTTCTGATTCCCGGGTCCTGTGCAGACTACATGGTCCAGGGACGCAGACCTCGGAGGAACAAGATGGCTTTAAAAGTTAAAAAGCTGGGGAATTATTTCCTCCCCAAGCTACGGAAGACAAAAAAAGGGGAGTGGGAAAGAAATGGGGGAAAGCTCCTGGGCTGGGGCCGGGCGATCCCGGCGGTGGCGACGCGGGGCCGGCCCTGCACGCCCTTCACCGCGGTGCAGATACTACCCCTGTCAGTGTCTGCTCCGGGCTACTTGTGTTTGTTCAATGTGCGATTAAAAAAAAAAAAAAAAAAAAAGGGGGGGGGTTTGGGGGAGGAAAGCAGGAAGGAAGTTGTGAGCCTGTCTGGGGTTGAACTCAGCGGAACAAGTTTTTCTTTTCTTCTTTTTTTTTTTTTTTCTATTGCTTGGCAAGACCGAGGGAGGGAAACACTTAAAAAAAAAAAAGTTTCCATTGTTAGCTAACAAAAAAAAGGCCTTTTAACTTCTGCGGGTTAAAGATATACGATCCATTTTCCACCCCTCCATCGAGCCTTGCTGATGTCTAGATTTAAGAAACTATTTTTGAAAAATGTTTTTAATAACGTTTTGAGGGTGCATTTTAAGGAAATCAAATCATGGGGAACTTTTCAGCATTTAAAACGGGCTAAAATCCTATATAAATAAAACGGTTTGTGTTCTTGTACACAAACATGCAAATTCAAAGAAGGGCCTTTGTGGGCACCTCCTTGCAAAGTTGCAGATTTTAAATGCATCACACTAGTATTTTGGAAGACTCGTTGGGCTGTGAGCTGTTGATGGTTTTGCAGTGCAGTTGCTAATCGAATCAACACGCCTTTACGTTGCACATTTATCTATTGCACACAGCAAATATGACATTGGTGTATATTTTTGCACTTATTTCTCAAAGTGATTTTAAGAAAAAGTGTAGTCCTGAAACTAAGGAAGCCTGAGACCCCTTGCTCAGTCTCCTATAACTGGATCATTTTCCAGAGCCTTCCCCACCCGCTCTCCCCCCACCC